ACTTTTCGCTGAGTGCAGCGCTCTCCTCGTCAGCGACAGGAATAGGTCCCATCAGCGCACCCAATCACGACTTTATCAAATCATCGATTCATCTATTCATCACCATCCGCGCCGAAGGCACCAGCCGTAAATCCCGGCATCCGCTGGTGGCATTTCCTGGCCGGACCTGACTCAACAGTCCCACTGTCACCACTTGGCGTCCAGCTCGAGACGATCCGCCGTCAAGAGCCGTTCCCGACGCGACGCGACCGCACCGTGCTCCGCGTAACTGGCCCCCTGGCGTCAGCGCCGCCTGGGGTCCCATCAGCGGCCGGTACTGATCTCCGGCCGGGCTCATCGACCGATCTCGGCCCGGCCGCCGCCCGCGGCACACCTCAGCGGCTCGGCCGCTGCCCACTGCACACCTCAGCGGTGGTCCGGGTCCGACCCGGACGCCGCCGCACCCCGCCCTGCCGCGCCGGTCCGTCAGGTCGCGCCACCTGCCAGCGCCACCCGCCCGAATGTGCCGCTCGAGGGGACGCCTGTGCGCGATGCGCCGAGGAGCGGAATAGATGCATGTGCGCCAAAGACGGACACGGCACGGGGAACAACGCGATGCTTGGTAATGAATGTTTTTCTAAGTGGTTTTCATGAGCATTCCTGTCCCCGCTCCGCACAGGAGGCATTAACCAATGCTACAATTGCAGCTGGACACAACCAGTCATCCCTTGGCGCAGTTCGTGCCCGCCAGCTCTTACGCTGTCAGGAGCAACGAGCACATTGCGAGAACGAAGCACGAGACCAACCGGAAGGCCGAGACAACTTTAGAAAGTCGACCCCAACGACGTCAATGGATCCCCAGCGGATCATCGTCGCGACCACGGCGAGGGATTCATCCGGCGACACAAGTGAATAGGATTACACAAGACAACTGTTGAAGTTGTTACACTTGCACCAAAGCACCTCCCATCCGGCAGCTGTTACCAGAGAGGCCGGCACATCCCAGGAAGTCAAATCACAGATCTTATGTACAAGCGCGAGAGGCTAGCTACTCTACAGACCTTTAGATAACGTAAAGCACTGAAGTACGGAGGCTATGCTGTATGAATGTCGGATCCACCACAGTCATCACACATCTATACTAGACCACGCTGTGATGCCGTGTTGACATTGTCGAGAATGACCACACCTGCTGCGCGTCATACAAGCCCTGACGAAAGCGCTATCTCCTTATGTCAGCACTGCGAACGGTCCACTGTGAGTGGCAAGATTGCTGAGTGTCTTGCAATACGGCTGTCCTGATTTCAGTGGTCTGCCTGACTGCATGCTCGAGGCACAAGCAGTCGCCTGCACGGTCCGTATTGGGAACGTAACATATATATATATATATATATATATATATATATATATATATATATATATATATATATATATATTATACGCCGATTGCGCGGCTCGCTGTCACAAACCTCAACTCTCAGAGAGCAGCTCGTGACAATGTAGGACACCCTCGCTACATACCAAGTAAACCGCATAAAGGTTTGAAAACCGCATGCATTCATATGCAAAGTGGAAGCTTGCGGTTGGGGATTTGTTTCTGGATTCCTTCCACGCAGTGTCGCGCAACTAATAGGCATGCTCTAAAATGCTGGGATGCCGCTGCAACACTGCATTCCCAAAATTAAGGGAACTGTTCCATTCCAACAAAACTGAGCCAACGGTGCCCACTTCTAACTAATACATTCGGACTATTCAAAAACAATGAAACCATATATTTCCGTGCCATGCCAATGTCACTTACTGCGCGCAACGTGCACAACCGGGGGCATAGCAAGCGCGTCCCGTGATGTGGTCCGTTGGTTTCCACGAATGAAGGTGCCACCACTTTCAAATCAGCCATTATTATAATTCCATCAATAATTGCTGAAAAATGTTGGCTCTGGTATTCAAAGCGAATCTCTGAACATTTCGAGTACCATCAAAGGTTCGAACCAAGAACGAATAACAAGCTGCATGGAAAGCATACTCAAGGCACAGATAAAGCATGAAGCATGAACGAGCTTTCACACGTCTCTGCCTCTACGTTCACGTAACGTGTTCACGTCTAATCAGCCCGGTCAAAAATGCTCTTGCGTGATGTAGGGACAAGCGTGGGAACGTGTGCCAGTGAGGCAACAAATCTTTACCGTCCCCGCCCTAAATCATTCCATCCGGCGAAGTTCGTGACCTTATATGACGGCGGTCATATGGGAGAATATGCGGCTCCCATTAAATCAACGGATGGATCAACTGAAATGGATTGAACTGCCGCATATAAATATGTATCTATCAAGTCGTCGAGAGCCGATCTAAATCAAGCTAAATGTCGACGGAAACTACGTAAAATACACTATACCAACCGCCGGCTCGCGCAATGCCAGACAAGACACAAGCCCGATGATAGGAAGGTTCAGTGCGTTCCGGCCATGTACGCCAGATGCAGGCCACGGCGCGCCGCCATCTGGCGCCAGTGGTCAACAGAAGTGTTCATCCCACTAAGCAGCACTTGTTACCGTTATACCAGGAACAGCGATGTCGGATGACTCAAAATGGGTCATTGCAACAAGGCTATTCGGTGTAATCTGGAGTGTTTTTAAAGATGGGCAAATGCTACAAATAATTGGGAATACTTTATGTAAGGTCCAAATCTGACGTCATTCGAAGACGAATGGAAGAGCTGGATGAAATGACTTAACGTAAATTGTTGGTGGAGTCGGAATGTATCCAAATTTCCTAAGCCAGGGTTCCTAACTCGACGACACGTTGTCCCTGACGTTAGACACGCAAGCCATGCAGATCCACCAATAATACAGTCAAATTATGTTTGTCATCCGGCGATGGGCCCACTCCGAACCACGAGCCACAAATATCCGGCAACGTGCCCGCTGTGAACCACGCGCCACAAGCATGCAACGTTTATGACTGCAAGTCGCACCTAACTCAACTCACGTGCAAATATCTGCACATTATCGTATGTTTAGGTAATGAAGCCGCCAGTCTGCATATGATCAATCAGCCAGCTTCAGAGGCGTCAATTACCCACCGTCATTCGGTACCGACTACCGCTAACATGAGTCAACAAACTACATGACCTGCTTGCAATGAGCAACTGCATAAGGGTCATCACTCAAGCAATTAAGAGAGGGCAAAACACTCATCAGATCACAAAATACATAGGCCAGTATGCATGGCCAGTCTTCGGGAATTATCACCACATTGGGTTCTGTGGAATGCACTAGTGCCTCCTATCAAAACAAGGGCAGCAATACAATAACAGATGGCAGCACCATGGTACTAGCATTTTGAAATCAGGAAACCATATGCATGTAGTATGTTGCAGCCACAACCTGATTACTCATCCACAATGCAAAAATTTGATCTGGTTGTCAGTAAAAAACATACAATTTGATGACGAACAATGAAACAAAAAGCAAACTACAACTGACGGGCTGATGGGATAGTTTAATGTCACAAAGTCACGCCATGCATCTAATGTGCAGGCATGCCAGAATATTGTTGATCAGCATCAAAATGGGCTTAGAAACCAGGCTATGTATTGCCTCACACTCATGCTAAAATTGTTGGCTCTGCACCATATGCAACACATATGTGTTTACATAAACAGCTGGAAAGCTATGAAAATAGTTCACTCCAAACACAACCTCATAAGCAGCTTACCATACACCAAACTCTAAACACTTCAACATGCAATATTTTAATTAAATGGGAACAAAAATGCATCAAGCTCTTGCAAACGACCACTTCTGTTAATCAGTACTGCTAGATTTTTTGACAGCTCAAATAAATTGATTTTTTAGACTTGTTTTGAATGTGATAGCCAAATATGACTGATGGCAGAACTGCATTATTCTGGGTATTAGAAAGGCACACTCAGAACCAAGGAGATACACTAACCTAATAACTGCTACAAACTGGCTGGATAAGTGCAAAACTAGTTTCAAAATAAATGGTTATATAGCAGGATCACACATTGGTGAGGCATTATCTCACAGCCACAACCTCTACTTATAATAACATGCTGGTCATCTTATAAAACATTGCATTCAGTGCTGATCCAGCTCTGATTCATATTTGTTCACAGAGGTGTTAGCTGACAGTCTGCATGCTGACATAAGTCACATCATATATCACAGCTTGCAAACTAACAAGCATGCTAAGATTAAGTATGTGTAAGAGTCAGACTAGTCATTTCATCACTTACCTTCTTCCAGGCCTGTGTCTTCGTTGACTACAGTATGCTTATTGATATTTGGATCAGAGTTGCTCTTTTTTCTGGTTAATAAGTTTCTCACTGCTCGAGCACTTCTTGATCCTTCCTTATCAGCCATTTCATTTGCAAGGCACTTAACACTACGGAACAACGAAAACACGCAGTGTCACACTTCCGGTTTGTAATTGAGATCGCAGATTTGTTGCATAGACATACACCCGCTGATGATAAAGTGCAAAACTACACGTCCGTGGAGCACAATCATGGGCTGGACTTCACTGAGCAACTGGCGTGAGTCAAATCAGGATCTCGAGGTCACGTCGCGGATGCTTCCTATCACCACTGACAGAAATTCCCTCGCCGCACCCACTAATTCCCTAACGTGAAGCAATCCTACAAGTTGCTGTTATGAATCAATGGTTGATTTGACACATGTGGCGCGCTTGGTACGTACTTGTTGCTTTGTTGATGTTCCTGGAAGATTAAACGTTGTCCATAATATAAACTAAAAATTAAATTAACTAAAACCTTACATGGTGCAGCATTCAAGCAAAGCTAATCTTTATCTCCATCAAACACTTTTTTGAGCGTTTTGTGTTAAAGCACGAAATGAGATCTGGCGGTAAAAAATATTGATAAACCTTCATCTATGGGTTTCAGTAGCAATAACAGCAGTATTGCTTAACGTTTTTATTCTCATAAGTTGCCCATCATTTGGCAAACCAAAACATTTGCGTGGGAGGCAAGCAATCGAGATACGGTGGGCGGGTGGGTGTGGGGTAGCTGTATATGCTTACACCAGGAGGCGGTATGTCACGCACCAAAAGCTTGCTTCATTTCACATTAAAAGCCAGGTGATCAAAGGCCTAAACCCAGATAAGAGCAATCAATGAAATAAAATAAAGCAACCAACAAGCACTCGAACGAACCCAAGTTTTCCTACGCGTCTTTGGTCACTTCGATTTCTATCAGCCTGGGTGGAAAAGTATGTCTTCCAAATACAGACTGGGTATGTTGATTTAGGTACATATCTAGCATCTGTATGCTTTGTGGCACCTGTTTTACTTGGAATTTATTTCATCCTTGGCCCGCAGGCTGCACTAACTCATTGTGTGTTTCAGCAGCTGAAATGTCTCAGTCACGACTGGGAACAGTTGTCCTTGGTGGTGGCAGCGGGTTCATCGGCACCTCACTTAGTGCTCAGCTAAGAAAACGCGGATATGATGTTATGGTTGTGTCCAGAAAGCCAGGTCCATACAGGATGACTTGGGTGAGATTTCCTGACTTGGGTGCACCTATGAGCTATCTTGCTGCCTGGGCTGGCTTTCTATGAAGTTGACATTTTCTTTGTGCATGCAGATATATTGACATGAAATGTGCAGTATGATATGAGATGTGCATAATTATAAAGTTTGTGAAACCCATCCACCAAATATCAAATATTGTGTTGTGGGCTTGTGGGATTCAGCATTCCAAGACAGGCTCTGCAGATCATGAGGTCCTCGCTCTTGAGCTTTGAATTTGACTGGCATTTAACAATGTCTTGTTTTTATGTTGTTTTTGCCAACACTGTATGTGCTGCCCTATGTCCCTTAATAATGAATTTCCATACTATCTTTGGGCTAGTCTGCATGTCATGGTAGTGATGATGGACAGCTGTTTGGGGCATTCTAAACCTTGTTCCAAGGGGGGCAACTTCCACTAACCTTTTTTTGCTACCAATGATGCCTGCTCATGAAACTTGACCATTAATTTTGTTGTAGAATGGTGACTCATGCCCAAAAATGTCAAAATGCTTCTCCAAATCTTATTTTGGTCTAAATCCTATCCCAATAACATATTTCTGAGATATGCAATTTTTAGGTTGACCCTTGCTGTGGCATCATTTAGCTGTGATATGAATTGCTGCAATAGGCAGAAATACTTCCTGAAGCGTGCATGTCAATATAAGCACCTTCATACCTGGCAATGTTGTGATCTTCCCTATCTGACATAGCTCCCCACTCCTGTCCTTATGGCAAGCCAAGCAAGGTGTGCCTATATGCAAGGACAATGTGGCAGCCCTGGTCACCATTCCACTGAGATCACAACATATCCATTTCCACCCACTCTCAGAGTAGGCTGAGCAGGGGTACCAAGCCTGGCAGTAGGCCACCTCTGATCACCCTGATAGTGATCCTTGTGATGTGACCTATTTACCCATCCTTGGAGTGAGCTGAGTAGAGGTATCAAGCCTGGCAACAGGCCACCTCTGATCACCCTGATGGTGATCCTTGTGATGTGACCCATTTACCTGCCCTTTGAGTGAGCTGAGTGAAGGCAGCCTGCTGGGCTGTATGACAGGTGGTCAACGTGATGCTGATCCTCCCGACCTGACCCCCTCTCTTACCCCCAGAGCGAGCTGAGTGAGGGAGGCCTGCCAGGCAACACAACAGCTGTGGTCAGCTTGAGTGGCCAGAACGTGCTGGACCCACTCCGCCGCTGGACGCCCGGCTTCAAGCAGAATGTGTGGGCGTCACGTGTTAACTCAACACGCTCCCTGGCTGATGCGATTCGTGCAGCTCCAGTCAAGCCACAAGTCTTTGTGTCCATCTCTGGTGTGGGTCAGTGGAGGCTGGGACTGGGCTAAATGACCCTGAGTGTTAATGTCTGCATCAGGAGCTGTCTGCAGTGCACAGTGCTGTCCATTCTGGATGTCATATGGGTCAAAGACATATTCCAGCTCAATGAAAGGGAGAGTTCATCATTTGTATAACCACCAAATATGTGGGGTTTTGAACTGAAGTAGTCATTTTGAAGATCTTTGAGTGCACTTCACAGCCCTGTCCTTCTTAAAGTCTAAAATGCTCTGTACCTACCAAGATGTGCAAACTATTGCAAGGTCATTCAGGCATGCATGATGCCATATATATATATATATATATATTTCAAATGCTGTCACCCCATGGACCATGATGCATTCAAGGCTAAGCAAAATGTTATTGTCAAGCCATTCAGATTTGGCATCTGTGAGGATGATTTCCAAGCATAGTGGACATCTTTTGGCTATCAATGCTGAGTAAGCTATGTGAGTTTCACAGAAGGTTTGAGTACTTGGATTAGAGCATTTTCAACTAGTAATAATTGTTTCAGGGCCTTGGGATGAAGGAGAGCAGATGGTGATGGAGTATGACTACATGCATATGGGGGGAGGGGGGGGCAACTGCTGAGCCTTAGCCTGTGCAGGGACCCTTTTGCATGGTATGTGGCGGGCGTCCGGTGGGGGTCCCTCCGGGGGTCTCTTGGGCCACTCGTGGCTGGTGCATTTAACCTGCCCCAGAAGAGATGGGTGTGGTGAAAATGTAGACTGAAGAAAGATTCTGTGTAATTGGGTTGGATACAAATTGCATTTTGTGCTGTTATATAAGAAATTGGACATATTTCATAATTATGATGAAAATAAGAATTTTTCTCCAATAACTTAGACTAGCACCATAACCAAAAATGTGAACACAAGTGAATATCTTAAACTCACAGATGAATATGCAAAAACAGCATGAGAAAGGGTGAAAACATGAGCACGTAGAGATGTTTGGTTCAACAAACACTTCTGACACAACAAACACTTCTGGCACTGTTTGAAGTCAAGTGAGGCAAGGCCGGCAATTTCGCACAGCTAGTTTGGTGCATGTCAACCTTACACAAACATTCCATGATGCAGTGAAACAATTATGTATTGAGAAGTATAGTTACTAAATGGAGAAATTTGTTGGTCCAGTGCAGTCTTTTCCATGTAAAAGGATATCAGTTCCCATAAAGTGAGCCGATTTAATCATATCTGATGCTTGCTTCAGTATCTTCAAATGTGCAACTTTCCCTTTGAACACATGTAACTGAGCATTTTGGGGCATCAGGGCCGGATGTCTGTATCATCCGGGCACCTTAGTGTAGGGTAGTAGCAGCATTGTGTGCTTTGTGCTTTACCTTGGTGGTGTGCTTGTCCTCGTGGCATGCATATGTAATAATCTGATCTATTGATGTCATAATTGTGCATAATTTTTTATGTAAATGAAATGGTCTGGTGTATTGGATGGGATCGCTGTCATCAGTCATGCCTGGGGGGCCTGTAGCAGCAGCGATATGGCACCTGGCTCTTCTAGGTGATGGCTTGCGCCAGAAGCCCTGTACTTTCTGTACTGAGAGGCATACAGTCCACATACTTGTCTCACATGCCTGGACATGCTGTATTGTATCATGACATTTCTGAATCTCTTCTGGTTTTAGGAAATGTCCTGAGGTCATTCAACTTGAACTAAGTTCCATCATTGTCAGAGGAGGTGCTGTGATAACTAATTGATATTGATTGCTGTACATGGCAACTGTTGTATATATGTGATGATGTGATTTGGTGCACCATTGCATGCCTAACCAATTTTAGCAAACATTTTCCAGCTTTCACCATTTCTGACAAGGCGAATGTTTCACTGTCAACCCTTTGCTCTTAGAACATATGCACACTCCAATCCAGGATTCCATACCAGAGACACCATGCTGCCAACAGAAGTCATCAGCCTGTGGCCCTTGTAGATGCTTTGCTGGACTTTTCCGTGGTTCAGCCTGCTGACGTCGCCAACACCCGCAGGCTACTACGAGCCGAGCGAGACGGCCGAGTACACGGAGGAGAGTCCCGGCGGCGACGCCGACTTCATGGCTCGCCTCTGTACCGAGTGGGAGGAGGCCGCGCGCCTGGACGACCCGGCTGTCCGCACTGCCATCGTGCGGTCAGGTGCGGCACTAGTGCTCACCGCGGTCGCCACGGGGCGGCTGCTTCTGGAGAACGTGCGATAAGCACGCATGTTGTGTGTTTGGGAGATGTGGATGGGGTAGGAGCAGAAAATGGAAAGGGCGCTCGCCGTACGTTGACGGACGTCGTAGGCTGGCGGCTTTCCGCCAGCTGTTTTGCTTTGCTAGTGCAGCCAGCATGAATGATGATCACATGTTATGAGCACTAAATCAACATGCAGTTGCAGAGCATAAATGTTGTGTTTGTTATTTCACTTCAAGTTGGGTCAACAGCTTGTGCAACCCATGTACTCGTTGACAGCATTTTCACACTGGGACCAATTCCTCCCATGGATGATGATGACGTGTCTCTGACACGTGTCTGACACGTGTCTGACACGTGATTCATTCTGACATGTGCCACTGCGGCCGGACGAGTCCCGATTCCGGACCGGTTTCCCCGCGTCTCACGGCCGGTCTGCGGGCCTGCGCAGCGCCGTCTGACGCCCGTCCCTCCGTCCAGGCGTGGTGCTGGGCAGACACGGCGGCATGATCCAGCAGCTGTTCATCCCGTTCTACATGGGTGTCGGCGGCCCGATCGGCTCCGGCCGGCAGTACTTCCCCTGGATCCACATCGACGACATCGTCGGCCTCTTCATCTTCGCCATCGAGAACCCCAAGGTGAGGCATTTGGGGGAGTCATGCATTGGCTAAAAACGAATGAGGTGTTTGTGTGCGAGCGTTTATCTCTGCCATGTGGCGGTGTGTCGGCCTTGGCACATGGATCGGCTGCATGGATGTGTCGCACGGCGTCTGACAGGGTCGTCCGTCACTAGTGACGACTCGGTATGTCATTTGTGTCGGTGTTATATTTCTGGCACTGCAACGTCAAAACACTGTTTCCTATGTCCGATGTCTCTCGGCTGTCTCCAGCGAGTACGAATTTCTAAAGGGATTCTGTGGTAGCTCTGTTGCTGCTGCAGCCCGTTGGATTGTGATACCGTTCGCTCAGTCCGGGGGGTTTGAGGGATTGCTTTTTGCTCCGTTTGTACGAATTTGCGATGTGTGTTGAGTAGTCAAGTCTGTCCTTCCCGTCACATTGAAACGAAACTTAAACAAATGCACGGGAGCCACTTGCAGCCTGAGCTTGTTGCTTGGATGCTGAGCGCACCACCCATATTGTGCCGTGTATATATATATATATATATATATATATATATATATATATATATATATATATATGCCCATATCATGCCGCTCCAGTTCCTCGAATCATTTTGCCACCGACTGTCTTGCCAGGCCGAATCGCGGAGGGTCTTACGTGATGCAGCGTGGTGGCAGGTCCCGAACATTGTCAGACCCGCAGTGTCCTGTCAAATCCGCATCACGCCCACCTGGCGGGCCCTGTCTCGCCCCGAGGGCCGTGCTGACCGTGCCCGTCGTCCCGGCCGCAGGTGTCCGGAGTGCTGAACGGCGTGGCGCCTCAGGTGGTCTCTAACCGGGAGTTCGCGGCGGCGTTCGGACGCGCGCTGTGGCGGCCGGCGCTGGTGCCGCTGCCGGCCGCCGCCGTGCGGCTGGCGTTCGGCGAGACGCGCGCCCGCATGATGGTCGAGGGTCAGCGCGTGCTGCCGCGCCGGCCGCTGCAGCTCGGCTTCGAGTACCAGTACCCGGACATTGACTCAGCCTGCCGCGAGTTCGCGCACCTCCGGTACAGCCCGGTGAAGCCGTACTGAGGCTGGCGGCTAGGGGTGGGGTGAGGGATGTGTTGTGCGACTGTGAAAGGGTTCAAGACAGCGTTGAGCGCGCAGGCGAGGGCCAGGAAAGCGCCCCGCGTAGTCACCAGGCGTTATAGGCCGATGTAGTGTTATTGCTGACTTTGGATGGCCCTTTATGGGAGCCGTGCTGGAGGATCGATCATGACTTGTCTGCGGTCACAGATGCAGCCGAGCACTGGGCTGCTGTATCCGCGAGTATCCGCCGGCTGCGGCTCCCTGCGCGCAGTCACTTATGTTGTTTACACCCTGGAATGTTGTTATCCCGTGTCGGGAAGTTTTGTTTTTGAAAGCTGTGATGCCAGTGAAGGGTCGGTTTTTAACTCACTGACGTGATACGGAAAATATTGTTGCGACCGGCTTGCTGAGCGGAGCGCTACGACGCAGTCAGTGCAACTACTGTTCAAAAGCTGAGTAGTTTTGCGTGACGTGTCTCGAGAAGCCCTTCATTGCCCATGCAATACTATGTACATTTGGACACTGTCGGTTTATCAGACATCTAGAGCGATCCACCAGCAGGATGTCGTCACACTGCCGTGACTCGCAATACTATTCCACGTGTCGGCCGACCTTCGTCTTGTGTTGTTGTCTTACGCCCATCCATGGTCCATCAGTCCAGCCAGTGTCTCATCTGCAGTGCTCAGGGAGATTCGCGAGTCTGAACAACTGCAAATAATAACTGAAACCGCCGATCTACAGGACGCCATTCTCTGATGTTTGCTAATTGTGGGATGGTTGGACACCAGCTCATCGCCGATTTTCATGGCTTCTTCACGACTATCACGATGAGTTGCATTGTTGCCTTCCGCACGGATAGCATTGCACGAATGGCATGAGCACGCAGGTGTCGCCAGTGGCTTCGCTGTTCGCGCTTGCGCTGGGAGCAGGACGAACCGGCGCATGAACGCAATAACGACTCTCAAGCATGACAATACGACGGCGACAAATGTTCATTCACAGGTGACTAGTTCAGAAATTCGACTCGCTCTTTCTGTCTAACCTCGAACACGCTCAAATTCAAGTCTAACTTGGCCAACACTGCTTCACCCCCAACCAACACATGATCATTTCACGCCAATGGCAGGTGGACGACACAAACCACTGTGCTACTTGCGATGGAAGCATATAAACTTGCGTGCCCGACAATCGCATTGACGACAGCACGAGGCACGATGGAATGAACGAACGCATGCAAGCCCAAGACTCGGTGCCGGACTAAGCTGCTTCATGCAGCGCTCCGTCGCTGACGTCAGCACGTCCCTCGGAGGGCAGCTGGCGCCTCAGAAGTTGAGCGCATCCAGCTCCCTGCTGACGGGCAGCACCAGCTCCAGCGTCTCGCTGTCGGCGTCCCAGTGGGCGCGCGCCTGTTTGTCGCGCACGGGGTGCGGCAGGAAGAGGCTGAGCCGCCAGCGCTCGGCGCGCACGTCCACGTGCCGCTGGCGCACGTCCAGCACAGTGGAGGCGCGCGTCTCACCCGGCAGCTGCACACGCACTACCAGCTGCTCGCAGCTGGCCGTGGCCGGCGTCTTGTTGCCCACCTGGCCGCACAAGACCCGGCCGGGTCAGGCGACGAAGGGTAAGTCTGACGCGAAGCTGGGCGATCAGATGTGCGAGACGGAGCAATAAATCGCCGATGAACACAGGGTTCAGCTTATTCCAGCAATGTAACAACGCATGTCATTGTCACTGCGCCCAACGGGCCACTGGCCTGCCACGACGGCCCGTCTGCCGGTGGCGCACCGCGGCCGCCTGCGCAGCCTCACCTGCAGGAACATGTCCTCGGCCGTGACCTGCTGCCGGAACGTCATGGTGTACTCGGGGCGCGGCCGGGGGTCGTCAACGTCGTCCAGCTCGGCGCCCTCGTGCACCTCGTCGTCGTCCCAGATGGGCGTGGGCCCGGCCCGTGCAGCCGCCGGCGCTGCCGCCTGCATGTCAGCACCTGACTTCACGACCATCCTGGAGGCGGCCTGCGTGTCCGGTGCGCCGCCCGAGCCTGTGAACGATGGAGCGGAGGCGGGGTCGCAGGCGCGGCGAAGAATGGATGGACAGAGCAAGCCTCAGGCGACGCGACAGCCCAATGAGTACGAGCACAGATGTGGAGACATTTACGCTCGCGAACTAAGCCCCGAGGAATTTAACAGTGGCCGGTCATCCGGCGACAGATGTGTGGCGGGGATGTATACGGGACAAATACTCACGTTTGACATAGCCCGAATCCTCATCTTCTTCACTGGCAGTCAACAGCGACGCCAGATGCTGGATGTTCAGCTGGTCCATGTTTATTTGCCCAATGTTGGACACTGCTTAAGGAAGTGGACGGCACAGGTTATTATCAACTATTTCGTGGGGTCAGCTGGCCTTTCGAGACTCGTAGTAAATTCGAATGTGTCACCAGCAGGAAAGAAAAATGCTCCTGGGTCAGTTCATGCTTTATTCAGCACAAATGTGTTTGCAAGATGGAGGAAAGTGTGCTACTCCATTTACAAGGTATAGAAAATATAAAAAGGCCATCATAGGTGATGAAAGAGACAGTTAAGCCACCCCATCAAGCATATGTAAATGTAGTGGTTGGCACTCGGTACACATGTTAGTATGAAAACAAAACACCCCAAATTTCATTGTCAATATGTTCATTAACGCCAACTACTTGCAAAGCAAGCCCTGTATTAAAATATAATAACTTATCTTCAAAAACACAATTCGCATGCATCATAGATAACTACATCCACAGCGTACGCCTCAATCCTCCACACTTACACGCATACAAAGCGTTGGCACCCCCACCGCCGGCGTAACCCCCACCCTGACCGCTCCTACACGAGTGTTTTGCCTTTTTTGTCTGCTGCGTAACATTTGAAATGTTTGCGTCATAAGCACAAGCACAAAATTTGTGTTTTCTTACCTATTTTGGTGACGTAATAAGTAAAATTTTTTAAACACGCGGTAGTTTTATAAGTTTTGACAAGTATCTTTATACGATAATCTATGAAAAAATATATGGTAAAATAATACTAAAATTTATCATCACAATAAATGTTATGTTTTAAAAATACCTCATCAACTTTCATTCGCTCCTCCGTAACCATGGAAACGAATAATCAAAACAAGAGCTGGGCGAATAGCAGATGAGCAGACGCATTCTTTAACACGGTTCTTCGAGTCGTTTTCAACGCTGCTGATGGGGGAGCGGTGCTCTGCTGGCGCTTATTGCCTGTCCGCTGTCGCGCCTGCTTACAGTTTCGAAAGTTCTTCTGCTCGGAATTTCAGTAGCCAATAAAAGTAATAACCGTTACTGAGTGGATCATAATCGTGATTATACTGAGTGGTTGTTTGCTTAGCAGGTAAATGTGGATGCCTAAAATTCTCTCCTGCTGACGCTAGATAAGGATGCTTATTCAAATCATTGCCTCTTTCTCATTGGTCTTGCAAAATTCTGCTCTATCACATAATTGTGTTCTGTTGAAGAGGCTAGGCCTGTGAAAACTTGTAGCAGAGAATTTATTGACAGCTGTGGCATTGGGGCCAGACAATGCCATTTTTTTCATTTCAGCTGAGAGCCTTTTGCTTTTGCTTCTATAAGGGGACTCACATTTGGCCTAGATCAATATTTTACCATGCTATTCATGATTATACCATAGAAACATTCTGTCATCTTCCCTTGTAAAGATCATAATTATGACACTGATTGTTCATATTTGGCCCAAATGCTGGTGGCACTAAACCAACACCTCAAGGCCATCATGGCCAACCAAGGCTAACCTTTTGCTGTTGGTGTTCTTGTGCAGGCTAATTAGTATTGCTTTGTTTTTCATAGACTTGCTGTGTGAAATTTTCCCTATGTGAATGCTTAAGAAATTCTCATTCATAAGCATTGCCTCTCCTTCCAATGCCAACCTACCTTCAATGTCATTGTTTTGCTATAGATGGCTCGCTGGGATCATACAGATGTAAAGATAGAAGAGATGGCATGCTAAATGAAAGCGAATGGTGCTGCATGATGATGATGGATGATGAAAATTGATTTGTAAATTTTAATGATCAGGCTGTCAGTTTCAATCCAATGAAACCAGAGAGTCAACCATTGTATAGCTTTTGTCCATATTGTAGCCTTTGCCTAGCAGTATGATTGGAATGCCAGTTGGTTAAATGACCTTATTTCCAAAGTGTTTGGAAAATGCATTTGGCTGACAATGTCAGATGCTAGTCTGGCAAGTCTTGAATACTTGTTATTTGTTCAGAATTGATTGCATTTCAGGGAGAAATGAGGATGGTTTAGGAATGAAGCTAGTGTAAACAAAATGTGTGTCAAATCAAGATATTGTGTAACCTCGCATTGTTCTTTGTGATATAGCATTATGGACAAGTGTTCAAGCCCATCCCAGTATCATCCCCATTCTGTGGGCACATATACCACCACTGCCATCACTGGCATCTGTATGTCTGACCCCTGTAGGGACACGAAAACGCGGCGCCCGGCCGGCCCCCTGGTGGTGCGGCCATGTCGCTGTTCAAGGCGCGCGAGTGGTGGTCGACCACGTGCGGCACGGACGAGACGTTCGACCTGGGCAGCATGCTGGTGGCCAGCATCGGGCCCGAGAAGCAGAGCGTCCAGCGGATCGTCGTCGGGCAGCCACGAGGTCAGTGGAGGGCGACATAGCTGATGGACGCCGTGGGAAGCGGAGTTGACGCAAGAGGCTTCGCGGCTGCAGTCACTGTGTTTGGCTGTCATTGACTATGTCTTTATGTGTGTTCGTCTTGTTTGTAGTGTTAGGTGATGGCCTCTTCCCACAGACACTATGGCATGGTTGATGGTGAGCACCTTTACTGTACCAATATGACAAATTCCCGTGAAATTTCTGTCAATCGTGGCAAAATGGCGTGTGCTGCGGGCTGATAATGTTACATGTAAAATACGTAAACTGGGCCAAACATGTCATTATCCTAAAAGTGACCATGGGTAGATTATTTGTGTATTTTTATTGCATGTCACAGGGCAAAGGCCTTTCGCACCTTCCTGGCTGGTTTCTGTCACGACCTGCCCGTGAGGCACGCTGCCCGGCCGTCCTCACCACACAAACACACCTGCGGCACCCACCACGGCCGAGCCGAGCCGAGCCGAGCCGAGCTGACACCGCGCCTCGGCTGCGATGCAGGGCTTCATCCGCGTGTACCAGCCCAACTACGAGGGCCGCGGCGACGGCGAGGAGGCGGCAGAGAACGGCTTCCGGCCGGACGACCTGCTGCTGGAGGTGCAGCTCGACCAGCCGGTCCTGCAGCTGATGGCAGGACACTTTGTTCAGTGAGTGAGGGTGCCGGCTGGGGAGAGATCCCAGGCACACCCCTCTGCCCTGCTGGTGACGCGTGCTGCTGCTGCTGGACTAGGCTTGTCAGTGTTGGTAACTTCCGGGCACTTAGTCAGGCGTGTAAGTGGTCGGTCAGGGATCTTTGGAATAATTTGTTTTCGTTGATTGATGTTGGGTAGTGTGATAACTGACTTTTAGACTGATTATGACACTGTTTAAGCTAAGCTGTAGAGCAAATTTTCGCTCTTCAGATTTACCTGGTGTTTGCAGGCGAAATAATCGGATTTGTGCTACCAGGCTCCTTTCTTCTTTCCACGTATTACACTGCTGGTTGACCTGGTGTGGGAATGTTCCGTTCTCTCCTTCAGCTCGTGTTCAGTTATCTGCCTGGCCGTCCTGATGCCGCTCTGTTCTCTCCGCCAGTTCGTGTTCAGATACCTGCCTGGCGGTTCTGATGCCGTTCCAAGTCGTCATCTTCACCATGAACATGGCGGCGGGCGCCGTGGAGCACGGTACCCACTACGCCCTGCACGCCGCCTACTCGCACCGGCTCAAGCGCTCCGCCTTCAACATGTTCTCCGGCAACTTTGGTGGCTCCAAAAACAAGGTTGGCTGCGTAGTGTGCACGTAGAGTGATGTATGTGTGCTCAGTTGTAAGACGGAATCCTTGGTGAAAACTGATGCACTTGACATTTGAGAAAGTTTTTTGGGCTACAATAATTTTAACGTGCGTCCACCCTGACACGGGGGCCGGTGCCGCCCCTCGTAGGTGGCTGTCCAGTCCACGTCATGTGTGATCACTGTGTGCATTTTTAAGTGATCAGTGATGTGCTGTTAAATATATGTTTAAAGAGATAATAATGCAAAAATTGATGTCACTCTGTGGCCCCCAAAGTTCGGGAAAATGTTGTATTTGATGCGGTTTTTTCTCGTTTTCAGATCTCCACTTTTGCTCCACAGTCCTGAACCTTTTAACGTGATCCCACAAAACCTGGTGTTCTGTTCGATTTCACACGACCCGAAACCACGCTAGGGCGCGCACCGCCTACCTGACGTACGCTCTCCGCCGTCGGCAGGAGCTGTTCTGCGTGCAGGCGCTGGACGGCACGCTCTCGTTCTTCGAGCAGGAGAACTTCGCCTTCAGCCGCTTCCTGCCCGGCTACCTGATCCCGGGGCCCGTGCTGTACGTGAAGAAGACGGATGCGGTGGTGACCGGCACCTCCAGCTGGACCGTGGAGGCCTACAAGTGAGAGCCTGTCGGCAGCGTGCTCGGCTCTGGAGGCGTGGGACACGAGAAAGTGGTCGTGTACGGGTGGTCAGCTTCCCATCCCCGCGACGTATTTTATCGGTGTTTCTGGTCAACGTTGTGGTCACATAGGGCCTAAAAGAAGAGGTGGTGCATTGGTTGTGCGAGTATTTTCCAAATTTGCTGGCTACCACCAAAGAAAGTGAAAGAAAGTTTCGAAAGTGTTGTATGTGTTCCTATGTTCCATGCGCTGGCCTTTGTGGAGGCGATTGAATGCATCAGCATTTGTTTGCTCCCTAATTTTTCTCCTTGATAACGTGTTGTGAATGAATTTAGGCATTTAGGGAATTTAAGCATGCATGCAGCTCTCGCAAATGTGTCTGTTTTACTCCGCGAGTAAAGGTCAGAATTTCGAAGAATGCTACGCATGTTTAGGGTCGTCCGAAGCGCAGAAGGCACTGGTCTGGTATCGCTGGACACCTCGCTCCTGATCTATCTGCCCACCTCTACTGATCTGTGTCGCCAGATACTCGTCACTGGCTCAAGGATCCGACGCCAATGAGAAGCCTAATGGCGACACCGGGTCTGGCAAGCGGGTGTACCCCGACTGGACGTACAACCTGGGCGAGGCTGTGCAGGACATGCAGCAGGTAGTTGACAACGCACATTACAAGTGCTTACCCCGGGTCGGCTGTGTCATGTATGCATTCTTTCGTAACTTGTCCTTAATTGCTCCAATCACTGGTCATAGCATTGAGAACATATGATATCAGAATGAGCTTGGACGCCACTGAGTATATCCGATCCGACGCTGTCACTAAACGTCATATCAATGGGTGCAATGGGTGCATCTGAAAACAACACGGCCTTTGTCGCCGACGTTGGCCTTACGCACGAGCGGCCATTTCCGCAGGACACGCCACTGGACAGCTGGCAGGGGTGGTGTGAGGTGCTGGTGCTGCTGGTGACCTTGCCTGCACGTCACCCCACTGGCCAGCTGACGGGTGGTGTGAGGTGCTGGTGCTGCCAGTGACCTTGCCTGGAGGTCACCCCACTGGACAGCCAGCAGGGGTGGTGTGAGGTGCTGGCGTTGCTGGTGACCTTGCCTGGAGGTCGCGCCGGCAGTGGAAGACGTCAGGGCTTGGCTTGGTGGAAGACTTGGTGACCTGACCTGACCCGTGACCTCGTGTCCAGGTCACCATGTCGTCGGGGGACGTGCAGGTGGCGGTGCTGGCCGAGCACAGCCTGATGGTGCTCAAGGAGACGGGCCAGCTGGTGATGTTCAAGCGGCTCGACTACCACCCTGCCTGCCTCACCACCTTCGTCAGCGGTATGTACCGGCCGCCTCGGGTGACAGCGGGCGCGCTGACGCCTCTCCCAGCTGACGCGCCACGGCTGGTTGTCATGTGGGCGGAATCGGCCCGATTTCAATGATTACCGTGTGGTTTACGTCTTTTGAAGCGGACTTGTATCCGTCCACGCCTTTGTGACTACAGTGCTCCTGTCTCATCTTTAAAAAAGAAGGACAGGTGCGGGGCTGCACGTGCCTTAACCACTATGAAGGGGTAAGAAATAGTGCTTGCCGAAATTCCCATGTGTCGGTTTTGGTACCTTTTTACTGGCATTCACAGGCTACAGGTATGCCACGTTGTCATTAACACAGTCCTCTGAGCGGATTAACACATACTGCGGCCAGAATATCCCCACAATTACACTTGACATCAAGTCTTCCCACGCGGTCATGGTGACGACCTCCCCTTTTTCTCTCCCTTTCTCAGCAGCTTGACTGTTGCCTGGTCTTTCCGCGTCCACTTGTGCGCCGTTCACCACCAGTTGCTGTCTCGGCCACCACCAGTCGCTGTGTGCTAGCGGCGTCGCTCGGTGACCTGCCGGCCGATCGTCTGGCCCGTGGCTCGTGTCTTCATGTGGCGCGCTATTGACGGTCGTCGCCTGGCTGTCCGTGTTGGTCCGGGTCGCGGTGCACGGCTGGCACGCCCAGACTGCGGCCCCCTGCCACGCCCAGGGGGCCGCTCGCGCGTGTCCCGACTCCGGCGCGGGCCACGTGCCGGCAGACACCGGCGGTTTGATCACACCTGTGGTCACTCCCGACCTGGCCGGCTCCGGCACGTGTCCCGCGGCATACGCTGATAGTCCTAACACCCTCGTCCTCCCGCACACGGATATCACGTGCCACGTGTCGGCAGGCGCCGGCCACTTGATCGGGCTCGTTTCTAGCCGCACGTCGTTGCTGCGGCACGCGTCTCGCCGGGGACTCAAGACAGTCCCTGTCTTCCTTACACACCGGTAACACGCGCCACGTGTCCGCAGACGCCGGCCGGCTGACCACGCTCGTGTCCAGCCACACGTGCGTGCTGCACGTGTACGAAGGCGGCACACTGCGCTGGGCGGCGCGGCTGCCGTTCGCGCCGTGCGCGGCGGCGCGAGTCCAGCTGCGTCAGCTGGCCGGCCTGCTGGCGCTCCTGTCGCCGGCCGGCCAGCTGGTGGCCGCCTACCTCGGCACCACGCCCTCGCTGTTCGTGGCGCCGCCGGTGCAGACGGCCGGCGCGCTCGACTACGAGGCGCTCGACGAGGAGCTGGCCACCCTCAACACGACCATCCAGAAGTCGCAGGCGCAGGGCGGTGAGCCGTGGGAGCTGGAGGTTGGGGTTTCGGTCGGAGCGGCGCGTGGCTGCGCGCCACGCACGTCAGCCAAGTCTGGAGGTTGAGTGGCCTGTTGAGATATGGGCTTGATACGTGTGAGGACGGCAGATGGAGTGCTGGTGTTCGGGACGGCGGGGTGACTCCATTCCCATAGCTAACGTGGCGATGCAGTTGCGAAATGAAGGAGCACATGGATATGTGGAGTTAGCCGGCGGCGTGAACTTCTGGTGGGGTTGGGAGGGAGGGGTGGGGGGGGGGGGGGAGACAGTAGTGCATTTTAGTACTGGGGTACATAATTATTCGCTCACATCACGGGCAGAGGTGAATTTTCAATTCACCTCTGGCCGTGATGTGGCCGCCCTCCATCCTGGCTACGTCAGGTTGATGGTCATTTCCCCGTTGTCAACACCAGCCGCCTGGTCCGCCTTCGTTGGCAGACTCGAGCCTGGCGCTCACCTCGAAGGCGGCCGCCGACCGAGAGGTGCAGCTGGTGGTGCAGATCCACCCGGTGCTCGACCCGTGCACGCTGCCCACCGAGCTGGACGAGCAGGTGGGTGCGGCTGGCGGCTCATGTGATGGGTACGGCTGGCGGCTCCGGTGATGGGTGCGGCTGGCGGCGGCCCAGGCAGTGGGTACGGCCCTCCCGCCCGCAGCTCAGATGGCCTGCCACCGGTTGGCATGCTGGGGTGCAGTCACAGTGTCGTTGGGGCTTTACTACCCGCCCAGCTGGAAGCTACATTGCATCGCCTGCCTCGTACCCTAGCAGGAAGGGCAGGCCCCGCGGGGAATCGAACCCCGTGCCTCTGGTTTCCCAGGCGCGCAGCTTAACCACCACTTAACCGGTGCCCTTGAGGTACGGTTACAGCGTCGAACGCGGTGGGTGGCCGCTGCATCCGCGAGGGCCGACCCTACGGCGCGGTGGCAGCACCGGCGGAGAGCATGGTTGGTCGCTCCCGGACGTCAGCTTGAGCTGCTAACTGACGTTATCAACGGGTTGGCGCTGGCGTCTTTGGTGCTGATTAGCCGGCTGTTCACTTTGTCCGTCGGGCGATATTGGCGTGATGTCTCTGGGTCCGTACGCTAGGTGTCAGCTGTGACCTGTGTTGACGCCGCGTGCCGCCAGGTGCCGTGTGCCAGTATCCGAGCGCTGGTCTCTCCCATGGCTCCGGTGCAGTCCCTGGTGCTCAGCTTCCATGTGACCAGCCCGCTGACCGTGGTCAAGCCGTCCGCCGCCATCGAGTACCTCAGTGAGTGTGACGCTGCCTCCGGCCGGCGGTGCGGCTGATAGCGCTCAGCCTGCCTGCTCTGACATACGCCGCCGGTCGTAAGCCGAGGTCTTGGGAGCAGACTGATGGCGTGATGGTCACGATACTCAGGTGAAAAGCTCGCTGACTTTGCTGACTTCGTGTATTAAGTCCACCTGGCCGTCATTTTGCAGTGAACTATGGTCCCCCGAGCAGCGTTTCTAACGACTGATGGGGTGATCGATATGGTTGCCCATTAAGATCATGTTTCTGGACTTGCTAACTGAAGGTATTGGATCGGCATCGATGCCATTTGTAAGTCAGATGCCGAAAAGCCGAGGCACCCTCTCTTACTTTCTACGATATGTTCTTATCAAGCGGTCGGTCCTGTTCCGTGCAATGTTTCTACGGAGTGTTGGCTCTGACATGGTCACAGGGAGAGACCAGTTTTACATAGTGGTGTTCGCAATCATGGCGGGGAAGCAAATCATAAGATGTTGATTGCCGAACGAAGGGTGCAGAGGACTGTTAGCACTGTTTTCGTTGGAGTTGAAATGTTTTCTACGAAATTTGATTTTTGCTCGCTCCGGTAAAAATTAATTGGAAAGCCTTTTGTTTGGTACAACTGCTGTAATCAAAGTTATGCAGTGGTCCCCACACCAGACCATTTATCGGGGTGTATGTGTAAACAAGGGGCGGGTAACACAGGCAGTACCGCTGGCTCTGAGTGGACAGAGCACACGAGATCCTTCAAGTACAGCTTGCTCAGCGTCGGGCTCAACCACTCAAAGCTGAGGTGTTGCCACTGAAAACCTCTCCCCATCTCCACAACCACCCCCATAGCTGAGGTGGCCTTGCTGAGGTCCCCCCCCCCCACACACACACAACCACCCCTATAGCTGAGGCGGCGCACTGAAGCCCCCCCCCCCCCCCCCCACCCCTCCCGCCGGCAGCGAGCACGACGGACGTGGAGGCGGTGGTCTACCTGGAGAAGAACCACGCCATCCCGTCGCTGGAGCTGGAGACGGTGGTATCGTACCTGGCGTCGGGCGGCGCGCCGCGCGTGCTGCGCCACTCGGCGCGCCTCCCGCTGGCGCTGGTCGCCCGCCAGGCGGACCCGGTCAAGGACGCCGAGCACCGCGTCACCATCTGCACCTCGCGGCCGTCCGTCAACCTGGCGCAGCTGTTCAGCGGTCAGTCCCGGTGCCGGCAGAGCGTGTGGCTGTGGACGCGCCGTGTGGACGCTCTCGGTTCTGCCGAGTTGAGGCGTCTGGTGCGCCTGTTTAGGCGATGGCTGGGCGTGGCATGGTCTTGGGACGGAGCGGCGTGAGGGCAGGGGTTGTGTGGCGGGAAGGGACAGGCGGGCCTACTGGACGTTGCAGGTCATGAGCAGAACGACGGCAGGACGCAGCGTCAACATGCGCACCTTGTAAGCCTAGCTGCAGATGGTGTCCCTCCTCAGTGGTCTTGACAAGACGGCGGGAGCGACGTCTCAACCACGAAGCCTTTCATTACTGCGCGTCAGTTGTGTATGTGCATGCGTTTGTTTTGAGTAGATTGATGCTGACCTGCACTGTTCACCCGCGGGTCCCGTCCTCCCGTGCCCCCTCCCCTGACGCTGACCTGCACTGTTCACCTGCGGGTCCCGTCCTCCCGTGCCCCCTCCCCTGACGCTGACCTGCACTGTTCACCCGCGGGTCCCGTCCTCCCGTGCCCCCTCCCTCTCTCCTCTCGTCCTAGCCAGCCCTTCTGAAGCCCCTCGTCGCCCGTCGCAGATCTGAGCCTGGATCCGAACATGTCGAGCGCGGCCGGCATCGAGTACTACACGGGCTCCAGCGTCACCATCCTGGCGTCCAAGACGTCGCAGCGCTACAGGCTGCAGTCGGACGACCTGCACGCCCTCTGGCTCATCGCCGACGAGCTGACGCGGCGCATCGGTGGGTGCTGGTGCTGGCGCTGGCGGGCTGTTGTTGGCCCTGGCGCTGGCGCTGGCTGCTGCTCGGGGGAGGGGGCCGGGAGACGCACTGGTGGGTGCTGGCCCGTCTGCTGCTCGTGGGAGGAAGGGAGACAGGAGACACATCAATGCGTGTTGGCCTGTCTGCTGCTCCGGGGAGGGGCCAGGGAAGGCGGGGATACGCTTACTGCGGCTGCCGCCGCCGGGCGTTGTACGATTCAGTTACGCTGTGGCAGGCGCTGTATGTACCGGCCTGCCTCCGCTCACGTGCTGGGACGTGTCTTCGTCGGGGTTCGGGAGTGCTGGCGGAGCTTGGTCTTGAACTCTGAGTAATCCGCAGCTGCTGCACCAACGCGTGTCGCTGGCGCGTGTGTCCTGCCGCGAGATCTTCGGCCGGGACGGATGTATGATGCATCATTTTAAGACTTGTGTGCAGTGTTCAACATTCCAGGCGGATTGCGGAAAGCACCGCCGCGCCTGCCGTCCTGCCCCTGGGGCTGGCTGGGACCCGGTGACGGGTGTGTGTGTGGAGTATTTAAGCGCAGCGCGCGCCAGAGCTCACCTCTCAGAGTGGCCGCCACACTTCAGGTGCGTGTTCACCCAGCAGGGGTGGGTCAACCTGCGATACACTCACTATTGTGAACAGCCCGGGCTTAGCGGTGTCCACCGTCACCACGCCCGCGTCCAGACGCCGTGTGCCGGGCACCTGAGGCCTCACCAGAGCGCGTCTCGGCTCTGCGGCAGGCGCGCTGTACGAGGAGGCGGCCGGCGAGCCGATCTGCTCGTACATCTCGTCGCTGCCGCTGCAGGACGTGTTCGCTGAGGTGGACGCTCACCTGCTGTGGCGGCAGCGGCGCGCCCAGCAGATGGAGCAGCTGGAGCAGCGCGCCAGCCAGTTCCGCGCCATCCAGCGCCGCCTGCTCACTAAGTACAAGGACCTGACGCCGTCGCCGCTCACCAACATGGATCAGCTGCTGGAGGAGACGTACCGCCGGCTGGTGGCGCAGGCCGAGCAGCTGGGTGACGACCAGCGCCGGCTGGACCGCTGCTCGGCGCAGCTGTCGTGCGCCGTGCAGCTGGTGCTGCTGCTGGCGCGCCTGAGCCAGGCGTTGAGCCCGGACGAGGCCGAGCTGCTGGCGGCGGCGCTAGGCTGGCGGTGCGCCGAGTCGCAGGAGCAGGGCTGGCACGAGACGGTGGACGTGGCCGCCGGGTACCTGCACAAGTCGCTGCAGCAGAAGGCGGGCAGGGTCGACGTGAGCTCGGCGCCGCTCTCCATGCCGCAGGACACGAGCAAGCTGAAACGGCACGTGGCGCTGCTGCTGGAGAAGGTGCTGAAGGCCGGCGCCAAGATCGGCGAGAGCGTCAACAGGACCGAGCTGGAGGGTGAGTTGGGTGTCGTGATTGTAAGGCATGAACCCGAGCTGGCGGCAGATCTTGATACCGTCTCTGGAATTGAAAAATAGTGCGTTTCGTGGAAAGAGTGGAAGACTTTGTAGTGGTATCATCTGTTTAAGGGCTGGTATCTAAGCACGTGTGTACAGCCCTTCGACCTCGCAACGTTCTGTATCAGGTACAAGTTCTACGGCACGGTGACCGCCGAAGTTTGTGTGCGTCTGTGTCTTGTTTATTATGCCGCCGCTGTTAGCCTCTCAGGTCAAGCGTGAGCGACCGACTGACGCCCGGCGGCCGTTCGTACGGCCGCCGTCGCTGGCCACGTCGCTGACCGCGCCCGCCCGTGCCGCAGACGACTCGGCGACGGCGGCCGAGGCGACGCGCCCGCCGTCGGTGCAGCCGCTCAGTCAGGTGTTCACGCAGCGGCTCGGCTCGGCGCGACCGAGGACCGGCCGGCGGCCGCCCAGCGCTACCGCCCCGACCCTCGCGCCAGGTACTCCGTACACCGCTCTCGGCCTGCTTGGCCCCCGCGGCGCTGGGCTCAGTCCGGAGGTCTCGGCTGATGGAATTTAGCCCAAGCGTTGTTATCAGCGCTAAATGTGTTTGCCTTGACATTAACTGGATTGCAAAGGTCTAGAACTGCAAAAGCAGGGAAACGTGCCGCTCCCGTTTGTAATTACCCCGTGTGAAGTCCGCCGCCAGCTATCGTGACGCTCAGCCGTGATGCCCTGCGCGCTGACCCCTGACCGTGCTCATAACTGTGACCTGAACAGCGAGCGCTCGTGACCTACCTGCGCGGCAAAATGGCCTTCGGTGCCAATACGCTCGGAAATCCCCAAAACCATGGACCCGTACTAGTTCGTGGCCCTGCCCGTGACTGTCTGCGCGTGACCGGAGACGTGACGGGCGGCCGTGACCTCTCGCGCCCGTGACCTTTGACCGTGACGTCGGCCACGTCCGCTGGCCGTGACGGTGCGGTGTGCCGGCGCCTGTGACCGCGTCGGTGACGCTGGTGTCGGCGACCGTCCGCCAGCGCCGCCGTCCGTGGCGATCGAGCCACCCACGCCGCAGCTCAACCGCTCGCGGCCCAACTCCGCCGACTCGGTGGACGCCGAGGCCGAGACCAGCGCGCCCGGCGCCGCCCAGGGCAGGCCGGAGCCGCGCGCCGCCGCCGACGGCGCAGGTACGCGCCGCCATTCTAGGTTTTTCTGGGTTTTTTTCCTGGTCGATGTGACTCCTGCAGTGGCAGGCGTCGACGTTGCGCTGTAATTACTTGTTTACGCTGTTGCTGTATTTACGCATTCCGCTGTTCTCGTGTTGCATGTGTCCGTGGCTCTTGTTGCATAGCCACGTGTCTCCTGACACTCCACCACTTTATTTTACATATCCGTGCTACGAATCTGCGTCTCCGCACCCTCTGTCCCGGTTTGTGATCATCTGGCACGGTCCATATTGCCGCCCTGCCTGCGTGCCGTCGCTTGGCGCCGGTGCCGGCGCGCCATGCTCTTGCGTCGACGCCTCGGTGCGGTGTGCCCGCAGACGTTCAGCACCTGGTGGAGCACGCCACCACCGGCGCCGGCATAGAGGTGCCGCGCGACAACCTGCTGGACGAGCCGGAGGAGGACTTCTGGTGACGGCCGCGGCTGTGGCTGGCGCCGCGCCGGCTCGGCTGACCCGGCAGGGAGCGGGCCACAGAGCCGCCGCCGGGTCACCGTGGAGAGGTAGGGGCAGTATACGGGGCTGGGGAGGGAGGGGCGGTGGTGGCACATGTCTGCGATACGGGGGTGGGTCGCAATCGCTGGGGGGGGGGGAGATATCAGTATGTCGATGAGGTACTGATGGGAAAAGTGCGTGCTCGCCACCGGGAAGGGTGTGCGGTTGGTGTGGTGGCTATTGGTGATCGTGGAGGAGGCTGGAAGCTGAGCTGCGCTATGGCCCCGGGCTAGACATCGCCTAGACGTGGTAATACTCGGTTATAAACTGAAACGCTGTGAACGTGTCAGTCAGCTCTAGACAGTTGATCTCAACTGTTTTCCCCTAGTCGCAAATAGCGCTTTACCTAGATCTCAGGATGAACAAAGGAGATTATCGCGAGGTGCATGTTCTATCAAGTAAGCAGAATCACCAGGGCAGATCAAGGGATATGCATATAAAAGTATTTTACCGATAGGATGGACCTTCCTTACCTTCCGAACTTCCGAACCCAAGTTCAGCTTCTGTCTGGGGTACTACCTGGACGTTTAGCTTCTGGTCGCAATTGACGCGGCCAGTAATGGATGTATGATCAAGCAGACTTGTTGACCTACCAGAAAGTACGCGAGGCGTTTTGGTCGTCGACGTAAAGGTGGGGTGGTTGGTCAGCCGCCGGCAAGTGGGTGGTTTGTGTGAGCTCAAGTCGACTGTCCGGGACGTGGGAGTGGTTGAGCGAATTTCGCGAAGGCGAGCACAGGGACGCCGGTTTGCAGCTAGGTCGGAACACGTCTCCGGGTCGATGTGAATCGTAACAACCAACACTCGCTCTGCTGACACTTTTTGCTTGGTCTGTCCTGCTGCAAGACAAACTGTAAATCCGTCCATTTTGCATTTAGTTGTTTTTTGATGATGGCCAACGTTTATAACGCGTGGCTTAACTGCATTTTTACTTGCTTTAGGGGTTGTGACGGTCCCATGGCCCACACTACAGGATGAGGTTATGTACGAGTGTGTGGTCTTCAAACAGAACGCGATTATGTATTCTGCAGCGTGCGTGATGTCAAAAGAGTGCCGGAATATTGGCATTTAAGTTGCAGCTAGTCAACTCGTGTAGCCGGTAAACAACGCTGTTATTCGTTGAGATTGTCTGGATTTTACCTTTTGTGTTTTGTGCTGTTGAAATAATATATGACACTCATTGTTCCCACGACTTTAGTGTTCGAACGTTGTTTCCACAATGTTGTTCAGCTATGCGGATTTACGCATCTGTTACCAACCACCGTGTTAAAAAGTTATGTGACGCAGACAGACGATTGCGCGTGCGAAGCGACCGCGTGGTTTGTTCGGGCCGGCGCCTAATGTCCACACCCTCGGCGCCGCCATCCTCTGGCGGAAAGCTAACCTTTCAGTCCGATCCACTAGATGGCTCTGCCAGTAATCGGTCGCGTCCTCACCTGCGCGCTGTGACGTCACGCCCTACCTGTGGGTGCCAGCGGCCGTTCTCAATAATAGCCAGGCAGTGAGGTGGACCGTGTGTGGGGGGCGGCGGTCTGTGCACGGGCGGTCAGCGACCACGCGCCGTTTCTGAATTTGACGTCGGTTCTGCCGCGAAGGTGCCTTGCCAGAGGCTTTAGAGTTTGTACTCGTAGGAAGGTACTGAGTGGAGGCCAGCGCGAGGCAGCGGTGCGGGCGGACGGTGGAGTGGACGCCCCAACCGGCGGGTGGACTGTGGACTGCACGTCCCAGTGGATGGTGCAGTGGCCACGCGGATGCCCGTGACCGCTGTCCGCTGGTGGTGTCTGGCTCAGAACGGTGGTGCCCAGCCCTAGGCCTCGCCGCGCCGGTCAGTGGAACGTGCCGGACGACTTTTCATTGCCTCTGATCGCACGGTCGAGCCTTTGCGGTGTCGCACGGGAAGCGTCGCCATGAGTGGCATCCAGGATCGGTTCAACAATGCGATGAAGAGCTTCACAAAGAAGGACAAGAAGGAGAAGGACAAGGAGACGCCAGACACCGTAGTAGACGACGATGCACCACGAAAGGATAACTACTTCAAACGGGTCAAGGTAAGATTTCAAATATCGTGAAGCCAAAGGGATGCGTTTCTGTTGATTGACCCCAAAACTCCCCTCGAGGAAGGCATTGCTGCGGTCATAGGTTGCTGAAATGTGAGCATTCGTTGTATTTATCCCCGACAAATCCCATTCACGCTCTCCGATTTGTCCGATTTGGACCAGCTATGCTGGTGTGGTTCAGAGTTCCAAAGCCGCGCGCTGGGTGCTGGGTTGTCCGCGATCTCGCCGTCCCGCCGCTTACAGCCTGCACGATTTGGCTCTCTGACGGACTGGATTTCGGGTTGGTGAAGTTCGAGGCGGTGCTGTGAACTCGGCGTTTGGGGGCGCCGGCGTCGGTTGCCTGTCAATGTGCTCCGGTGGTCAGGCATGGCGCTACCGACTTTCGGCCGCACACCGCGCCGCATGGTGCTCGCGCCAGGCAAAAAATCGCTCCTCATCGGCGGGGGACTGGGGTCCGTTTGAGACACTTCGCCGGCTCCGTGTGACAGAGGGGGCGGTGAAGAATGAGGCTTGGATGGTCAGGCTGTCTGTTGAAATACCTTCAATACTTTCCCTTTACATTCGTTGGGTCATTGAGCAAGAAAAGAACCTTGTAGCCTATAGGTTAGCTTATCGTCAACTATCGGACGGCTGGTCGTCAAATGATTGTGCCAGTGCGTTGCATGCGTTATTTCCTTGCGATTGTCGTTATGGAAGGGACAGAACATACCACATTTGAAAAGGAAATGGCAGCGTCGTAGCTAATTGAAAACGACGTCCTCATGCGGTGAAAAAGAACAGGTAATGGATTTCAGTGGGTCGCAAATCATTAGGAAGAATAATCACCTGATCTAGTCAAAACGGTCTTCCTCACTTGTCACCCAGACAGCAGAACAAAGGAGCTTGAACAGGGGTGTGTCACAGTGCTTCCTGCTCGGAATCTGATGTATGGGGAGTGTGTGGAAGAGCAATTATTAGTCCTTGCTAACTGTCCTGCCAGCTACCGAAAGGAACTGACAAGGGATGTCTCGCAAGGGGAGCTGGTTCTGCTGATTCCGCGGCATCTACGTCCTGTTCCGGACTTATTCTGGAATGTGATAAAACGGCGCACGACTGCGTTTATCGATTTATTGGCCCGGCTTCGGCCGCGGGGTCTCTGAGAGATTCCCTATCTTCACTAGTTTATGGTCTGATAATGCGGGGCCGGGTCGATAACGGTGATCAGGTTCCAGGCAGGGTGAGTCGTGCCCCCAGGGCGCGATGTTGTCTCCCGTCCATCTGGGTTCGCCGACTCGGCCCTTGTCTGACGTCTCTAGGTTTAGCGTCGTCCCCTGGGTGACCTGGGGACCAACCCGGTCTTGTCCCGGTCATCGAGCATTGACAAATGCGTTGCTTGTGCCTGCCTGACGCCGAGCTAATTAATACTAACACAATACAACACGATGCTATCACGACATTAGTGTCTACAGCTGGTTCTGATGCGGGTGACAGTCTGCCCAGCCTCGGTGGACAGCGAACTTTTGTTGGACGTCCGCGCTGGCGCTGTCAGTCCCATCCCCCCCCCCTCCACCCCCTCCCTTCCCCAGACTGCGCAGTCCACTGTGGGGTCTTCACCACCCAGTTTTTCTGCCCATGCAAAATGGCAATATTTGACATGCATTCGGGTCATGAAATCATGTCAATACCCCAATGAAAATATGTAAATTGACAGCCTGCTATGGGTTCATCGTGCCGTTGCCACGACTGTTCAGTAGACGTGCTCAGCAGAAGTCGTGCATGTGTAATTTAGCCATGAAAGCCCACATGGATGTCAATATACCTTTAAATATAACAGCACAGCGGGGTTGAAATGTGCCCACTGTTCATGACCGCGGCAGCACTCTGCGGGACCCGCGGCGGGTCCCGCAGAGTTGCCACGGCGGCCTTCAGCGGGACTCAACTCTGGGGGCCGGCCCTCAGCAGGACTCACTCTCTGCGGGCCGCGCGGTCCCGCAGAGTTGCCGCGGCGGCCTTCAGCAGGACTCAACTCTGCGGGGCCACGGCCCTCAGCAGGACTCAACTCTTGCGGGGCCGCGGCCCTCAACAGGACTAACCTGCACTGGGGCCGGGCCCTCAGCGGACTCAACTTGGGGCCGCGGCCCTCAGCAGGACTGAACTCTGCGGGGCCGCGGCCCTCAGCAGGACTGAACTATGCGGGGCCGCGGCCCTCAGCACTCAACTCTGCGGGCCGAGGCACAGGACTAACTCTCGGGGCCGCGGCCCTCGCAACTCGGGGGACTTCGGGCCCTCACAACTCACCTGCGGGGCCGCCCAGCGACTCTGGGGCCCGCGGCCCTCAGCAGGACTCGACTCTGCGGGCCCGCGGCCCTCAGCAGGACTCAACTCTGGGGACCGCGGCCCTCAGCAGGACTCGACTCTGCGGGGCCGCGGCCCTCAGCAGGACTGAACTCTGCGGGGCCCGCGGCCCTCAGCAGGACTCAACTATGCGGGGCCACGGCCCTCAGCAGGACTCAACTATGCGGGGCCACGGCCCTCAGCAGGACTCAACTCTTGCGGGGCCGCGGCTCTCAGCAGGACTCGACTCTGCGGGGCCGCGGCTCTCAGCAGGACTCAACTCTGCGGGGCCGCGGCCCTCAGCGGAACTCAACTTTGCGGCCCTCAGTATCTCTGCCATTTCCCTTTCATTTACGCCAGTTGGTCGGTCTAATTCGTCGTCCACATTGCTCGTCACAGAGTCGGAGTACTGGCGCGGTCTTTTTGACACCAGTGAATGTCACGAGGGGTGGCCTGTCCCCCAGTGGGAGCGGCGTCGATGGCAAACGCGTGAACTTTGTCCCGTAGCGTCAGACATCGTATTCATGAAGTGATGCGAGTCACGTCATTTGTTTGGGAAGTCGCGCGGAGACCCGACCGACGCAGGGAAGGTGTTAAAATGCTAATGTCTGGTAGAAATGGGTGGATGTGGTATGATGGCGTGACAACGCTGAGCACATCGGAAATGTTTTCCCATGTGTATGATGACACTTTGTGTCAAATGTGGTATGACACAAATGTACGGGGGGCTCATGTATGCGGGAACTTCCGTAGGAACTTCACTAACAGCCCCCCAGAATTCCAGGGACGCATTCCAGACGCGTAGGATGCGTGCCTTGCGTGGCGCTGATTGCTGTACTTAGGCGTTTTCTCGAACCTGGCCGTGGTGTGCGGTCAGCGAGCTCAGTACCCACAGTGGTGATGCCGATAGTGGCTGAAGATCACTGAAATATTCATCTCCAAAATCTCTATTTAGTTAGCGCTTTGTGACGAACATGGATGTGCGAAGGGTTTGGGTATGCTCAGTGATTCACGCAATGATGTGTAATTTGATCTTCGTCCAATAGCTGGTAATTGTCCCATCCACTACCGGTTTTTCGCGTGAATAAGCGCGTGCCATCGTTGCTGTGATTGGAACACCAGTTCCGGCTGGATGTTGTATGGAGAGTCAGGAAAACGTGTCTCTCATTCGGGGCTACTCCCTTCATCGGGATGCACCCCATGCAGTTGGAAGCCCCGGGGTATTATCTGTATTCAAGGTCAGTTTATGGCTAGGTATGTGGCAGACGGGGAATGGAAGTCCGATCAAGGTCTGTAACAGCGCGCTGTAAACCATGCATATGCATGTTTGTGACTTTGGGGCGCATCAAGCACATTGGTTATTTGCGCCCCTACGAGCCATTCATAACCACTCCTTTACACAATGGGCGGATGTTAATAGTCAGCAATGGACCAGAGGTGCGGTGACTGGTGATCGAAATGATGGTTCAAACGAAACCGGTGCAGTTTTGAACGCTTCTAATTAAAGGTGCTTGCCTGGTCTGCTTCTGCCTGTAAGAAAAGGAGCTCAAGATGACTGATAAAATATGCTCGTTAGACATCCACTACAATTGTCAAGCGGCTTTATTTGACGTCAGGAAATGCGATGTTATTGACTGGCAGCTTTAAGCGCGACTTACAATTATGTCAAAATCGGTGGGAAAATCGAGCACCGGTCGAGCTTATCCACCCATGAGAGAACTGGCGCGTCCCATGCAGCGTCCGGCCAAAAGTGTTTTGTACCAGGTAATAGATGTTGCACACCGGCTATTAAGAAAATGCAATGCAATTACTGACAGGAGAGATCAACCAAAAACGCATGTGCTTTTGGGGTTACAATGTATTACATGCCAGCCAATGCATGGCATACCAAATTCAACGGGCGAAATCTCGGACCTGATCTCCTCATCGGGCGTCATGGCTCCTTTTGCAAAGCCACGCTTGAACCGGGCCACCGCACGTGGTGGCACATGCCGCAGCAGGGTGGTCAATGGAGGAGTGGTGAGGGAGAACTGACACGCCTGAGAACGTTCTGACTCCCAATAAAGGAATCATGTGGGCAGAAAGATGCACTCGGAAACTATCGTGGAGTATGGACTCAGCCGCGGGTTTGGATGTCGTATACCTCCTCACAAAGGTGTCAAAACTTTTTAATTACACTGTTTATTAGTTCAATGGCACAGGCTACCGAAATGTGACCTTCGCAAACGAATCCGATCAGCGACTGTCTGAAGCACATCTCACCCGGCCAGTCGTAACTCGGCTGATCGGTGGGAGTCTCGCCGCGGTCGTTGGCGTCGGCACGCTCGTACGTGATGTGGAGTATCGGTGCAAACATTGCTACTTTCAGATCAATCAAATGCGGGGTGATTATCAAATCAACGAAACGGTGGGAGACCCGGCTCCGGAGCTTTCTTTGAGCTGTTGGTTCTTTGGTGGGCTCACGAAGCACTGACCTCATGCTTCCTTGCGTTTAATGTTGTCTTTCACACCCAGAAATGACACATAAACCGATCACGTAAGCCCATCCAGGGGGTGGGAGGGCCTCGCGCTACCTCTTCTCATGTATTCTGGTCCAGTGAGCAGACAGGCTATGCTGTACCCTGTTCCAGGAAGCTGGTCTGTTTATCTGTTCGTGATCTGTGGCACCTCGTCAAGGC